CCTAAATAAAAAGAACGAGCACTATTTTTAGATAAGGTTACTGAGATCCGATCCGTAGCTTCAATATGTTTAGTAGAAACACTTAAAACGGTAAAAGAAGTATGGTCTAGAGTTAAAAAGTGCTTTAAATCTGACTTATTTACTTGCTTGATTTCTACTAAATCATTCAGTAGTTTTTTAGGAGTATTTTTAGTTAAATTAAAACCGGTAGTTGTGTTGCCATTAAAAAATATAATATATATATATATATATGAAAAGTTTAAAAAAATAATGGAAATCAAAGGTGATAGTTGAAAATGATAGTTTAATGGGTTATTATTTATCCTTCTGACTTATAATTCTAGATAATAAGTAAGTAAAAAATGACTTCACACTTTCATAGTAAGTTCTTTGGGCTAGCAAAAAAGGTTACTTATGAACTTTACCGGAAGTAAAACAGGGAAGGAATGTTCTAATAGGTTCCCTACTAATTGCCACTGATTAGAATATTTATTAAAAGCAATTGGTGCTAAGACTAGGTGAGGCTAAACCCTAGTGAAAAATGTAAGAAAATAAATTTTAAAAATATGAATTATACCCATAAAAATTATAGTGAAAATTTTAAAGAATTTTTCTCCCAAGAGGAAATAGACAAAATGAGTTATGATGAAAAATTTTTCCCTCCTTGTAAGTGTGGTAAAAAAGGAGAATTTAGATGACTTAAATGTACTGGTGACGATAGGAAGGCGGGAATGTTTTATGCAATTGCACCTTTTAGAGGAAAATATGGAGAGGAGGTGTGTCATAAGTGTGCTCCATGTGTCAAATGCGGAAAAGAGAGTTACGGAGATTATTTTAGTGCCCCGCATGTAAAAACTAGTGATAACCCGAGTGGAACATGAGCGTTGGCTTATTGTAGTTTTGGTTGTTTTAATGGAGCAGAAAAACCTCGTTTACCAAAAAAAGAACCCAGACAAGTTGAGAAGTGCGACCATTGTGGAAAATTAGGAGAAATTAAGGTTGGTAGTGCTTATTGGGGGAAAAGTTTTTGTAGTTCTAATTGCTATGAACTTGCTTATGCTCGTGTATCTTCTCTCAAAAATCGTGATGAGATTAGGGCTCATTGTTGTGTTTGCAGATTCCGAATTTTTGGCGAAGATAATAACTTTACAGAAGATTTCAAAAATAGAAAAGGAATGGTTTACTATTCGGATGGAAGCATTAATTCATTTTACTGCTCGGAAACATGCTTTGAAAAGAGAGGGGATAAAAGCGGTATGAGTGGAAGCGCGTTCCATGACCGCAATCCAACCTCATCAGGCAATTCTCCTAAACCTATTCCAGCGGTTCCGAACTCTCAACCGATAACTAATAAAAGCGACAAAAATAATGTTAAAGTTATTAAGTTCGAAGATAATCTGCTCAAACCTACTGAAAATTCACCGGTTAAAACTGATAATCAAACCCTAATTATTAATTTGAAAAGTATTAAGCACATAACTCTAACTTCGGATAATAATTTAGTGATTGAATTTAATAAGGTCGAAACTAATAGTGCTAGACAAGAGGTTGAAATTGTAAATGACAAGCAAATAGGTAGCAGTCAAGAACTTCAAAAAATTAAAAATTATTTACAAGGAAGTGGAGAAAAGAGTATTAACCAACAAAAGTTAAACAGTATTCTCAACTTTGACAACACTAACACAGGGATTACAGATGAGCCCGATAATTATACATTAGCAGTAGGATTGAGTGTAATTTTCGTCCTAAGTGGATTAACTATTGGTTTATTAATAAGAAGAAAGTTAAAAGCAGTTAGAAAATAAGCAAATTTAATAAAAATCATGTCAAAAAAATTAGAATTAAAAAAATGTAAGATTTGTCGGCAAGAACTTTATTTTTTAAGCGGCTTAAAGTTCATGGTAGATGGACAACCTTGTTGTTCTGATTGCTTGGAAAAAAGAGGAGGAATTCAGTGTCGCTGATGTCATAAAAACCTTAATCCAAATCGTTATAGTGATGGTCTCGGAAAAGTCTCTTTCGTTTTTGCTGGAAGTATTTGAGGAGAAGAAATAGATGCTTCGACTGTCTGTTGCATCGATTGTTTACACAAATTTGAGTATGATGAAGAAGGTAAGCAAGTAGACAGTAAATTTTGAAAAAAATGTCAAAATCCAGGTTGTCATATTATAATTAATCGTCATGAAGAGGCGGTTGGTCGTAAAGAATGCCAAAGTTGCGAAGAAAAAAAGAAAGAGCAAGAAAATAGAAAAAGAGCCAAGGAACACGAGGGAGAATTTGAAAAATATAAGCAAGCCCAGGAAAAAGCCCAAAGTTGATGAAACACTCTTTCTTCTCGCGAACGAGAGCAAGAATGCGAAAGGGTGGTGGAGAACATGAAACAAGAAAAATATTGGGCTAATAATGTTAGAGAAGGCGAAGGTTCGGGATGAGCTTGTGATGGAAGTTTATGAATTATTGAAAACGGAAAATTTACTTCTCGTTCTCCGCATTTAGTTCCTATTCAAATAGTTGAGGAATTTCAGGAAAAAGAAATAGAATTTTGTGATAATAAAGCGATAGAATGATTTAATTCACAAATGGTTAAAGTTAAAAAAGATGATAGTGATAATCCACCGTTAGAAATTGAGGAAGGAGAAAGAATTGGTGAAAAAAAGTTAGAAATTGTTAACAATAATAAGAGTAATAATAAAGTGCTAGTTATTGACCTCAAAAATATTAAAAAACTAACTTTAAGAAATGGTAACAGTTTAGAAATTGAATTCAAGAGTAGTATTCAGGACAACCAAAATGTTAGTCATTGATATTCGGTAAACCAAGTTATGACTGACGAACAAGTGGATAATAATCAAGAATTGCAAAAAGTTAGAAATTATTTGCAAAAAAATAATAAAGTTAGTTTAAATCAACGAGAATTAACGGAATTTTTTAATTCTAGTTCAGTTCCAGTTGAAGCACCAAAAGATATTAACAGATTGCTTAAAATAGGCGGAGGAGCAGTTTTAGTGTTTGGAGTGCTGGGGTGATTATTAGTAGTAAGCAAGCGTAAATTGAAAAAGCACTAATTTTTTTCTAATGCTGGTTTTGTAATAGATAATCAATTAACTGGTTCTTTTTTTAAACTGCTTAATAAATTATTAATTTTAGAAAAAGGTCGGGAGCCAAAAAAGCCATATTCGGCACTATACGGAGAAGGATGGGCACTAATTAATACCTGATTATTAGTTTGGTTAATGCCACATTGTTCGCCTATTTTTCGGGCTTTTTGCCCCCAAAATACTCAGATTATTTCGCGGTTATGGATATTTAAGTATTGGAGTAACGAGTAAATAAATTCTTCTCATGATTTCATATGAGAAAGGGCTTGACCATCCTTTACTGTTAAGGCAGTATTGAGTAAAAAAACACCTTCTTTAACTCAAGGAAGTAAGTTACTTTTGGTTGGAGGGGAACAGTTGAGATCTTGACTAAGTTCGAGAAAAATATTTTTTAAACTAGCGGGAATATAGTTATTTTTTTGGGTGCTAAAAGCTAGCCCATCCGCTACTTCGGGCAAATGATAAGGATCTTGTCCTAAGATTACTACTTTTATTTTGTCTAATGAAATTTCTCGGAAAAGGCGAAAAACATTTTCCTTTCTTGGCCAACATTTATAATTTTTGTATTCTTCATCTATTTTAGTAAGTAAGGAAAAGAAGTAATTTTTTTGGGATTCTTGCTGAAAAAAAGGAATTCAAGTTGGTTCAATTTTATTCAAATAAAATTCTTTCCATAAGAGGTTATTCATTATTTATTTTTAATAGTCTTAATTGGTCATTCTTCCTTTTTTTATTATATAGCTTTTCAATTTATGTTGCTAAATAATTGATAGAAAATAAGATTTTTTTTCCTACTCTTCTAGTATTAATATTCTTAATTCTTCTTTAACCTTAGTAATTTTTTTTTTTGCTAAATTTTTCAAATATTGATTGTTTTTTTCGAGTATTTCGCTAATTTTAGGAAGGTAATTGCTATATCTTTTTTGGATAATTCCTAATTTTTCATTTACTATTTCAGCAACTTTATCTTTAAATTCAGAATAATTTAATTTTTTCATTTCTTTTTCTACTTTACTTATTTCTCTATCTTGGAGAAGAGCACAAATAGTTAAAAGATTAGCCATTCATTTTTTATCCTCTTTTTCAGGCTCATAACAGATAGTATTATTCTTGTCGCTGTCAGTTTTGGCTTTTTTAAATTTTTCTTTTACTGTTTGGGGGGTATCTAATAGACCAATATAATCATTTTCACTCTTACTCATTTTTTTTTCGGGGTTTTTTAATCCCATTATTTTGGCTCCTAGTTCAGGAATAACAGATTTAGGTAATTTTAATAGTTCTTTTCCGTAGAAATTATTAAACTTATTGGCTAAATCAGTGGCTAACTCTAAATGTTGTTTTTGGTCTTGACCGACAATTACTAAATCCTTTTCTTGCTCAGTGTAAAGAAAAATATCCGCCGCCATTAGGACCGGATAAGATAAAAGAGCTAAATTACCCGTCCCTCCTTCTTTTTCTACTTTGTCTTTATACTGAATCATGTCGCCTAACTTACCAACTGTAATATGAGGAGATAATAAATTCATTAGTTCTAAATGTTCGCTTACCGAAGATTGAACATATATTTTACAATTTTCATTTAGTCCACATCCGTAAAGTAAAGCGGCCATTTCGAAAACTTTGGTTTGATAATTAAATTCTTTTTTTGGGATAGTTAAAGAATGTAAATCAGCAATCATAATTATTACTTCATAATCGTTTTGAATTTTCAGAATATGGTGAATTACTCCTAAATAGTTCCCAAGGGTCAGTGTTCCGGTAGCC